AGCCAGCATGCTGGCTAGGGAATTCTGGGAGTTGAAGTCCATGCATCTTAAAGTTGCTAAGGTTAAGAAACATTGATCTAGGTAGTGGTCTTTATGAGTTTCTCTATTTTAAAGGAAACTCATGGAAGCCTCCACCTGCTCTCTGTAATAGTACAACAGCCCAGATGCTGGTTAACTGCTTTGGCAAAAACCTCGAAGACACCCTGCAGTGTATGTTGAAATAAAACATCAGTTTAAATATACAAGTTTAAGCCAAAGCATGCCTTAAAATAACAAAGCCCAGAGTCCAGGATAAATACAGTTTCCTGATTTCCCCGGGCTTCCTGCTAGTCGCTGTTTGGGCTGTTTGGTTCGGACACAGGGAAAACCTTTGGGGAACACAAGACAAATCCTAGGATTTAATGCATTATCAGTGGGAGTCTTGCACTTCAGATGGTTTAGAGTACCAGTATTTACCATGCTGTTCAAGCTAATTGGGTTAATTAACCTAATTAATTAGGTTAATTTCAGTGGAAGGGCTGCAGAACTTGAAAGTGTAAAGCAGAGATGAGGGTAGTGCAGGAAGCCGTTGTTTGCACAGTTAGCAAAACAAAACCTTTGAAGCAAAGGATAAATATAAAATCTTGTGTGGATTATCAGAAACTCTTATCTTCTTGTAGTAGTTGTGGGATTTTGTTTTGAAGTCTTTTTTTTTTTTTTTTACAATAAATAGATGCTGCCAATATATTGCTAACTTTATTTTTAATGTGAAAGCCAGACATCATGCAAATGAAAACTGACATGTGAAACTTTTGCCCAAACTGGCATTTCTTTATTTATTTCCACCCATCCATCCATTTGTAAGTGATCTCAATACCAAGGTAACTCTAGGTGACTTAGATAAATAGGATTAAAACAAACTGTTGGAAAAACAAAAGGACAATAACAAAATATAATCACCTCAGTGGTTAAAACAACAAAATAAACTATAGTACTAGTGAGTAAGTCTCTGTGGCATGTCCAAGGACTTTCTGGAGCTTCCTTATGTGCCTGTGGTTTGCACTACCACCAGTGTAACCAGGTTCTTCCTAGGAAAGAAGAGGCCAAACGGAGCCGTGGTGGTCTTCGTGACATCCTAAGACCTGGGATTCAATTTCCTCTCTGTGTTCCCATCTCCCTTGCAGCGTTCTGCGTACCTGCACCGTGAAGTGGTAGAGCTGGCCCAGCATTATCCTAACATCCAGGTCACCCCCTGGCGCATGGTCACAATCTGGGGTGGGGCCAGCTTGCTGAAGATGTACCTGCGCAGCATGAAGGACCTGCTGGAGGTGACAGACTGGGCCTGGGACTATTTCATCAATTTGAGTGCCACAGACTACCCCACCAGGTCAGTCTTTAGGAAAGGGAAAGGCCCAGCAGGCAGCAGAGGGTTCTGCTGCTGACCTATGAACATTGAGGTCATGTGAGACAAGCCTGGGATGACTTGAATGGAAGGGATCGGGGCTCCTCCTTCTCCCCCCCCCCCCCCCCCCTACTGGAGAAATGCAGGTAGGAAAATAAGATGGAGCTTAAGAGCACACAAGAGGCCACAACCTATCAGAAGTTTTGGTGCTGAGTGGCTTGATTTTGCCGGTTTTTGCCAAAAAACAGTCCACAGCCTTCTGTAAAGCCACTCAATAATTAAATAGCCCCTGTTGTTTTAAGATACAGGACACAAGGAAAATGACAAGGAAAAGGAGGGGTGGGGAAACATATTGGATGTAGTTAATTGGGGACCTAAATAGATGGGAATATATTAATTCTGCTCTGTTTGCATCTCTTCTCTGCCTGAGCTGGCCTCTTCCTGTTTTCTTTCTTCTCTTCTCCCATCCCTCTTTTCCTTTTGCTTTCTTGTCCCTGAGCTCAACCTTAATCTGCTTCCTCTCCCACCCTCTTAGAATAGGACAGTCCCGCAGAAACCCTTTTGGAGACAACTGGGGATAGAGGCACTGCCATTGTACTGGGGAGGGTTCACACATCTGGAGAATACCCAAGTTGGGAAGATGGCCTTAAGGTTTAGGCTTGTTTACTATGCATTTGATGTGTGCAAATTCTACTTTTCCAAAGAAGGTTCTATGAGCTCTAAAAAATTTCCTCTTTAAATAGATTTGTTGCAGTATTTGTTCATCCAGAAGCCAATTCATGTCCCTGATAAGTGTTTGGTGCTGCATTTCCTCTTTTGTTGTTTAAAAGATTAGTAATCATTTCCTTAAGGTCTTATTTGTGTACAAGTGTATAAACAAGGTTCTTTGTGTGATGGGAATCCTGACAAAATAGAATTTCCACTAATGTGGCCATAGCCCTATATCTGGTCTGTCCTCAGTGAATGTGCATAGATTGGAACTCCACTCTCCCTCTCTTCTGATCATGACTAAAAAAGGTGTGTTGGACCAACTTTCATTTGTCCCAGCCAGCATAGGCACTGGCAAAGGACTGTGGGTTTTGTAATCCAAAACATCTGGAGGTACATCAAGTTGCCTAACTTGTTTCCTGTCAGTGTTCTGCTTTTTCTAATTCTTCCTTTTGATTTGCTGCCCCCTGCAGGACCAATGAGGAACTAGTGACATTCCTGTCAAAATATCGGGACAAGAATTTTTTGAAGTCTCACGGACGAGATAATGCTAGGTAATTCAGAGATGCTTGGCGTTGGGGAATAGATTAAAAATGCCCCCCCAAAAAAGAGCACAGAATCCCAGATAAATTGTTGTTAGAAAGAGAGCATTCATGTCCCAATTTAAATACCCTCCTTAGATCATGTGGCACTTGCTTGTTTTATCTTTTCAGACCCAGATAAAGACTTTCTAATATTAATTATACTATCTTCTAGTGGTCTATAATTCTTTGAATATTTATGGACTTTTAAAATGCATAGAAGCCTTTTTCGCCACTGTTAACCTTGTTTTCATTTTATACTCTGCAGCTGTTTTTATTTTGTACTTAGATTATATGGCTTTATACTTTTTAAATAAGTTTTTCTTTTTAACATTTGTTGTTTGCCAGCTAGAGAATTGTTGCTATTAGGTATTATATATAAAAAGAGAGAGGGAAAGGAGTGTATAAACCAATGCATGGTTAAAAAGACACCATTAGGTGCTGTTCTATTGCATTGCTGTGGCCCTTGAATAGATACTGTCGCTTTATTCATCTGAAGCTAAATATAATTGAACTCTATATCTGAATTCCCATTACAAATAATGGTGTTTCTCTTTGTTGGTTTTTGTGGAATCGGGTCTTCAAAAAAGAGCTCCAAACTTCATAATTTAAAAAAGAAAAGCATTTAAAAGATGTGGAAAGCTTTGGAGCTATTTTTGATTAAAGGCTCTGGTTTAAAGGAGCCTATTGTTGTTGGGTCAAAAACTGTATCTTCATTGTGCAGTTTCCACTCCCTGTTGCTCTCTCTGCTACTATCCTAATTCCAGTAATTACCAAAAAATTATCTTTCAATATCGCCCCCCCACACACACACACTACTGGTTTCATTTGCTCCTTCTTAAATATTGTCAAAAGAGGCTCTTGTAACTTGTAGTGTTAGCAGAGTCATGGCAACTTTGGAAGCCTCCAAAGGTTAATCAGACCAAGCTAAAATCTTGCAAGCAACCCAGTTTCCAAAATTTAAGCTGAAAGATCTAGTGGCTGTGAATCGATATAATTGTGCCGATTGTCTGGAACACTCAGACTACAGAATCTAGAGTTTAGAGAGTGTAGTGTTCTAGAACGCTCCTTGTTTGAAACTTAATCCCTGAACTCCACGTTGCTTCCGAGTGAATCTGAGGCATTCATCCCTGCACAGGTTCATCAAGAAGCAGGGCCTAGACAGACTTTTCCATGAATGTGACTCACATATGTGGCGACTGGGTGAACGGCAGATCCCGGAAGGTATTGTGGTGGATGGTGGTTCAGACTGGTTTGCTCTAACTCGCAGTTTTGTGGAATATGTGGTGTACACCAGCGATCAATTGGTCTCCCAGCTGCAGCAGTTCTACACGTACACCCTTCTCCCAGCAGAGGTAGGTTAATCAGTTGTAGAGGCTTTAGGGTGGCTGTGGTGTATGGGTAGAATTTTGGTGTGGGATGGAAGTTTTGTCCCTAATACAGCCAATAACTGGCTGATTACTTACCTGCCCTGTAAGTGTTGTTATCCCAACTTATGTAAGTAAGGGAATAAATCAGGCTTCTAATAGCATTCCTTCCCAGCTTCTCCAGTCTCCATTTCCTACATCTTACTATGCTTAACTGAGATAAATGCATATTCTTCTGCTGCCTCCATCTGCTCTCCTAGTGATTCTTTATCGTACCTCTCTTTGGGCGAGAGATCTAGCCTCTCATATTTTGCAAACCCTGATGCTACTTAAGTAATAATCCTCTCTAAGAAAGCATTTATTGCTTAACTAGGAGAAAGGGAACAGCCTGGCATGGAAAGCAGAACCAAACATTGCACACTCCAAGTAATTTTATGCTCTAGTAGATGTAATTTGGCATTGATGAAGGATTAAATAGACCCACTTTTTATCCAGATGTATTAAGATACAATAAATACTGCCAAATGAGGATCTTTTTAAGTAGTTTGATATTGCTTTGCACCTGCTTTGTGCAGGTGCTAGTACTGAATGCTGTGGGGGGAAAAGATGTCCATGTTGTAATTGCTGCCATATCAGTACCCCAATGGAGTTAATAGTGGGAAATTCCTAAGGGGTGTTTGGAGGACAGAAAGCAGATTTTTTTTTTTAAGAAGTTGGCTTTCGTACATGCCATTGAGAAAAGAAATTGGGTTTTTATATGCTCACATATTCTCATTCTGCTTCTCCCTTATTTTTTCTAATGAGTAAAGAAATTATCCATAGTGCAGTTGACATTGTTCCTCTGGTTTTCTTTGTGTGTGTGTGTGTGTGTGTGTTTAAGAGGATATTCTACAATGCATAGAAGGATGTAAGTGCATAGAGCGAATATTATTCCCAGTGATTTAGAAGAGGCTGGTTTTAGAGAGGATGGCTTTCCCAAGAACATCAGTATCAGGCTCATATGTGAACCTTTCTCTCAATTCATTGCCAACCCAGATGCTTGGGACGCTTGAAAAAAGAGCATGTTTGCAGATCTAGGGATATTAAGAACTATCCTCTCTCCATCTCAAATATCTGATAAATTCTGCAAACACAAATGTATGATATGCCAGTTGTGGACTGTTCCCATCTTCAAAGGATTCCTACATAGTCCTGACTTTATAATTGCAGAATGTGAGGCATGAGACCCGGGTAGATCCTCCCCTGCAGAAACTGTTGCTAATGCCATCGTCCTGTTATTTTGACCACTCTCTGACTGCTTTCAAACCCTTGCAAAGTGAATCCAGTAAAAAGTCAAGGCAAAAATCTGCTAACTGACTGAGAGATCTGTAAAGAAATTGGCTGGCTAGGTGGGGGCAGCTGGCTGGCTGGTTGGTTTGTTGCAACAAAAAAATAATCTGATCACCTACATTGGAGGTTCCTTCTGCAGAGTGTGGCTCTTCTTTCAGAATGAGAAAGTGTTTTGCAGAATGCAAGGTCCTCTTGGACCTGCCCTTTAAATAAAGTTCTAAGTTAGAATGAGTGTCCTGCGGGCAAGTGGGCCATGGTGATTTATGCCTGGGTAGAGCCATATTTCTCACGATGCTTCTCCTCCTCTCTTACAGTCCTTTTTCCACACTGTCTTGGAGAACAGCCATGCCTGTGAGACCCTGGTAGACAACAACCTCCGGGTGACAAACTGGAACCGCAAGCTGGGTTGCAAGTGCCAATATAAGCACATAGTTGATTGGTGTGGATGTTCCCCAAATGACTTCAAACCACAGGACTTCTTGCGATTGCAGGTGCCCCAGACATTTCCTTTTTGTTATAATGTAGCTTTATTCCTGCTCTCCAGAAGTTATTCATAGTTCTTTGTTTCATTTGCACAAATCATAGTAGCTCAGGGCAGGCAAAATAGCATAACAACAACATGCCCTTGAGTCAAACTCAACTCCTGTAGATTTTATAAATTCATCCACACAGTTTTCATGGCAGCAGTACGGAAGTAGTTTGCCATTGCCTTCCTTCAGGAAGTGTTTTCAGACTTCCCAGTCTAGCTTACAGCCCTGGAATACCCTGATAGTCTCCCAACAAAGTACCAGCCAGCTTCAACTCTACTTAGCTGCCACTCACCTCTTCTTTGCTGAACAGCTGTAGCTCCTGAGGCCCCCAACTATAACATGGACCAGGTCACTGCTTTTATCTTTTGCTTTCGTTTTTACAAGACCCGTGTTCAACACTGAACTCTTTTGTATTGGGATGAAATCGAGAGATGGTTTTAATTCCTTAAGTCCTCTGCTCTCCTCCCCCCTTAAAAACAAATAGAATACAATAAGTAAAGACTAAAAAACAAAGGCCAAAATAATAATCATAACTATAACATAGGTTCCAGCCTTATGTACTTTTTCCTATCCCAAAGTTTTATATTCCAATAGTTTATAAATAATAACCATGTTTATTATTATCCAAGGTCTGTTGACCTCTGCAAAAATAGGTTAATTTTAAAAGCAGCACTAGGTCTTTTTCCTGTACCAGTCCATAGGTTCAGGTGCTTCTATTAGTTTCCAGGATTTTGCAAGACATATTTTAGAACAATTATTATGTTGGGAAGTTTTAGATTCCAAGTGCACACTGCTTTCTGGTAAGTTTCTGTTTTTAATGCTGCAGATTTAGCATTCAATCATGTTGTGAAACTTCTCTCTCTCTCTCCCATTTTCCAAATGTCTGTTTCTTTTCAGCAACTCTCCAGACCTACATTCTTCGCCAGGAAGTTTGAGTCAACCATCAATCAGGAGGTGCTGGAAATCTTGGACACTCATCTCTATGGTAACTACCCACCTAACACGCCAGCCCTCAAGGCCTATTGGGAGAGTGTCTATGACCGTGTGGATGGGCTGAGTGGGTTCACCGACGTCACCCTGACTGTGTACACATCCTTCTCCAGGCTGGGGCTACAAAAAATGATCTCTGCGCAGACCCAGAAAAAAGACAGGCCATGCAGGTAGCGCAAGGGTTTGACAGATCCTGGGGTTGTTTAGAGGTTGGGAGAGCTTGATCTGGAGTTCTGGGCCATCGGTCATTTGGCCTGAGGGAAAGGGCACTCTCTATTCTGCTTGAAGGTTCACTCTCTGACCCTTGGGACCTCCTTTTTGCCAGAAGGATAGGGAGCTTTACTCTTGGAGAAAGATCAAGACCCATCATTCATGGGATGCAGGTTTTACAAACTGGCAATCCAAGTTCTGCTCCTAATATCTGCATGTAAAACATCCTTCACTATTCTATCTAGAGATTGCTCTCATTTGGAATATCTAAGATGGGATGGTGGACTTATTGGCATAAAATAAGTTCACTTTTTTCAGTGGCATTGGATTCAATTTTGAACTAGGATCAGGACAACTCAGGTTCAAATCTACCTTTAGCTGTGGAAGCTCACTGAGTGACTTTGGGTGAGTCACTGTGCATCTTACTTAGGAGGTGAATTGTTGTGGGGATAACTTTGGAAGAGGAACCATGATGGATACCATCTTCAGCTCATGGAAGAAAGACAGGATCAGATTAACAAAATAATATTATTCTGAGAGGTCTCCTTGATCTTAAAATAGTTAAGGTCCCATAGATATAGAAGAGTCTGTGAACGCGTCTTTGATGTTAAAAACTATCATGTCAGTTTTGAATGCTGATGTTTTAGAGTGGCTAAAAGACTGAGACTTCAGTGGAGATTAAACCTGTTGGACTTGTTGGGACTCAGAACATATAAGATTCTGTTGTGAGTTTCAAATCTGGAAGTTGGCAGGTTGGATCTCACCTCTACCGTTTAGGTAGGCCAAAGTAAGCAGTCTTTCTGCCTGCCTCAGCCTTCCCATCTGCAATATGAAGGATAATAATAATAATGAACTTTTCAGAGCTGTTCCTAATTATGCATATGAAATGTTCTGACCATTTGGAAGTGCTACTCAGGGTTGTTATTACTATTGTTATTACTACTATTATTATTAACATTATTGTAATTGTTATATTTCTCTAGGTTTGAGCCACAGGGTTTTCCATCCAGTGTGCACTTGTATTTTTATGATGACCATTTCCAGGGCTACTTGGTGACTCAGGAAGTTCAGAACTCTGCAACTCAGCAGGTGGAGTCTGTAGAAATATGGATGATGCCCCGTGGGACTCTCAAATTAGCAGCTAGTGGCAAATCAACCAACCGTTTGCAGAATCTTGAGGTAGGATTCCTGTTTAGCCATTCTGTTGTTCTTTCCTGGCTCTAATTGGTCAAAATTTTCTCTCTCTACTTGGATCAACATATCCTCCTTTCTCCCCGCCCACATTCTATCAATATGCAGCCAGCATCCAGAAGATGCAATAATTAACTTAGTTTCTTGTAGGAAATCATGATACACGTGTAGATGGACTTGATATTGCTGAGCAAACACTAGAATGCACCATTGTCTCAATGATATATAACAATTTCACTTGATCTCTATTTTCTTTCCATTTGAGAAGTCCTTTCTTCAATATTTTGCAGCTTCCTCCAACAATTCTGTTTCTTCCTGACTATGACATTGAGTAGAGCAGCAGGTGGAGACAGTGATTTAGTCTCTACTTCCTGAGCTGTATTATTATTAAAAGTATTGGGCAAAGAAAAAATGACCTCCTCCATTCAATATAAGATCATTCAAGAATACTTGGGCAACACAAGAATTCTGTTGTTGAGAGTGTGGTCTGTGAAGCAAAACCCAAAAGCAAGAATATAGGAATAGGAATTGAATATGATTTCACATTTTTCTTGATTCTGTCCTATGTGGCTGTGGGTGTGGGACATATAATTAACAGGCTGCTATGATGTGTAAATCTTTCCTACCCAGACAATCTTCTAGAAGAGGATGGTGTCAACCCAGATTGAGCTTTCTGATTAGTTCTGCCCATGTGGGATAGGACCAGAGAGACGTGAGCCTTCTTATGGGTCACTGAAGGCAGATTCTAAATCTTCTCCTGTGGGGATATGCTGGCAGAATAAAGGAATTTTTCTAAGAGCATTTGGAATAGAAATGCATACAGCAATGTATTCTATCTTTGTATAGAAATATTTTTTCCAAGTGCTTACTCAGTGAAATGTTCTAAATATTCAAAATGTTTCCTGCCTGTTGAAGAACATGTTTCCCATGCTGTGGGTGTGTGTTCTTCCCCATTATGAATGCCTCTTTTCTGTCCTCTCCTACAGGTAGGTACTGAGTGGGACCCCAAAGAGAGGATCTTCCGCAATTTTGGTGGCCTGATTGGGCCTTTCGACGAACCAGTGGCCATGCAGAAATGGGCACGGGGGCCCAACCTCACAGCCACTATAGTTTGGATTGATCCCACCTATGTCATTGCCACGTCCTATGATATCACAGTAGATGCAGACGCAGAGTACACACAATACAAACCACCTCTCAATCGGCCCCTCCGCCCAGGTGTCTGGACTATCCGCCTTCTCCATTTCTGGGAGCCCTTGGGAGAGAGCCAGTTTCTAGTGGTCCCCCAGACCTTCAATCACAAGCAGCCTCTCCGGAAAGGTAGGTAGCCTAAACTGGGAGTGGTACTACTGTGTAGTAATTGCCTGGCAACAAATAAAGGAGTGTGAACTCAAGAGAAAGCTTCAGCTAACAAAGGGGCTCTCTCCTCTGTGTGTGTGTGTGTGTGTGTCTGTCTGTGTATGTATTAGAGAGAAATCCCATCTTTCTTGTGCATATGGCTCACTCAGGACACCTAGCAACAATTAAGGCATATGCATAATTAAATGCGTTGAAAAGAAAAACCAAAGGAAGGCAAAAAGCCGTTACAAAAAAGAAGGCAGATACAACAGTTAAATGTATCAGGGAATACGTTACTGTGCCTGAGGAACAAACATCTTCCAAAACAGGAAGGCCTTGATCAGACAATGACCAAAGAAGTTACCAATTCCCTGACTCACAGTTCCATAGTCAATGTGCTGCCAGTGAAAAGACCCTTCTTCTTCTCTCACTAATCATACTTCCACTATAGTTGAGACATAGAGAAGGGTGTCTCCATCAGAGGAACTGTCATGGGAGAAGGCAGTTCTAAAGGTATTCTGGTTCTAGGCCTGCAGAACTCTCAAAAGGCCATCACCAACACTTCGATCTGTATTAGAATTGTCCACCAGTGATCAGTTCAAGACCAGTGTAATATGCGAGTACCGTCCAGTGTTCTGGCTGCTGGATTCTGGAGTAACTGCAGTTCCCAAAGCTTCTTTAGAAGGAAACCCAAAGTAGAAGGTGTTGCAATACTCTAGTCTGGATATAATTAAGATATGTATCACCATGGCTAGATCTGACCTCATTAGAAGTGAGCACAGATAGCACCCAAGTTGAGCAGGAGCACCACTGGCTGCAGCTGTCTTCTGAACTTCTACATATAAAGTTGAATCCAAAAGAACTTCTGATTCTTCAACATCCAAGATAGGCTGAAATCAGTTTCCTGAGTCCATCTGCTTCCTGACGAAGAGCACTTGTCTCCCTCTGGAATAATGTAGGGTTTATTAGCCCATATCCAATATCCATTATTGCTACCAGATACCAATTCAGTACATCAGCAGTTTATTGGTAGTAAATGAAAAAGAGGTATAGAGCGCTCTCTCTCTCTGTGCATACACACACACACTTATGCATGCCTCTATTTTAAGGGCCTCTATTGCATTCACATATTGTATTTATGACCTTAGGCTTTTGTGATGCTTTGGAGTGTATCTGTGATTTCCATCACTCTATTGTCTGCAAATGTTGTCCTGTGGTGTTCTCAGAGGTTTGCATTAAATTCCTCTTGCAGGAGGAAGAGGATATTATGCAAATACGACTCTGGTCAAAACAGCAACAGTACAGTACAGTCCTAAGAATGGATATTTGGAACTCTTACCATGTACAGCAACCTTAGAAATGTAATGGCACACACACTATTCCCCAGAAATTGCTGTTGAGCCACAGCAGCCAATGATATCTCCTCTTCCCAAGTTAGGTTGTACATCATAACTTTGAATACGTACAAATCTTGATCTTGAATCCATGTGGGCACATGTGGGAGGAAGGCTTAGGGTCCTGCCCCTGCATCAGACAAACTCCTTCAGAGTGGCCCCCAGGATTTGGACACCCTGCTTCTGCAGCTGCACTTTGTACCCTCCCTACTAATATTTCTGAGGCAGTGAAAACTGCATGATTTAGTCAGGTGTTCGATAGATGACTTTTATGGTTTTTCTTCACTCTACGGATGAGATGCCAGGTTCTTTTCATTTATATTTATTGCCAAGTTTTTCATTGAAGTGGTTTATTTTTGTATTTTAAACCTTACTATTGTAAACTGCCTGGAGTTATATGCAGTATGTGAATAAATACCTCTGGAAACTGTTACAAAACACTTGGTAATGACAACGTGGAGGGAGAAGGAATCTCAGTTCACTGATCCATTTACATTAGTATGATGCTATTTCACATTCCTACTTTCCTAACGTAGGTGTCCTGCCCCTTGCAGAGATTGAATATCTTGTCCGTGATGGGGGGAGATACCCAGAGCCTTAAAAAATGGTGCAAGTTTAGGTTTTGAACGATGGATGAAGTGGATATGGGTAGAAAGTAAAGAAGGCGACTTTGAGAGAGATAGGCTAGATCCATTCTCAAAGCAACAAGGGGGGAAACATGGTTTACGTCCAAAGCAAGAAGAAGGAATGTGCAAGTGACTCAGGCAGACATGTCCCTCATTCACATGAATATAAGGTGGGGGTTGGGGAAGTAAAGCACAGTCAGACTTGCAAGATTCTGTTACTGTGGCCAACGTTAATAAAAGTGGTTTTAGCCTTCTTGTGGAGTTGATTTCTTGTTTGGTCTACATGGTGGGAATGATGGCATGCCTCCTGTTCCCCACTCATTGTGATGAAATAAAGTGGGGAGGGAAGGAAGGCGTGTTCCCCTCCCCCTTCAGTTTCATACTCTGGCAGCCAGTTGTTTTGCCCAAAGGCCACCAGGGCTAAGGAACAGGAGGGATGTGAGACTAATGACCATCTGTTGAGTTGATTCTAGTAGACTTGGACAGAGTGTTCCATCATGGAATCTTCTTTATTGTTCTGAGTTTGGACCACTTCCAGAACAGTCAGAACTTAACCCAGGTTGTTAGCTTGCTTCTAGCCTACTATATGATTATTGCACACTATTTGGGGATATTATATAAATAAATATATATGTAAACACACACATGCATACATAAAATGTAGGCAGATTTATAAGAGCCCTTTGTCTTGCTAATCTCTTCTCCTTCTATGTTCTGACTCAGATGATGGCAAGTGGCTGCATGCTGGCCCTCCCCGGAATGAGTACATGGAGCAGAATTTCCAGGGCCTGGCTGGGATCTTGAGCCTTCCCCATTTGGATGAAATGGGACGAGCTTCCCACCAGCACGCACAGCTCTTTGGCCACGCTCTGGAGAACTGGACAGATAATAGCATCAGCAGTTTCTGGTTGGTAGCTGGTATCTGCATGGTAAGCCCTTCCAGCTGCTCCCCCTTGGAGCTTTGCAATAAAACCTCCTGGAGTTCACTGTCCCCAGACCCAAAATCAGAACTGGGGGCCATCAAGCCTGATGGACGACTGAGGTAGCAGGGGCAGCCGGCAGCACATTCTTGGGATCAAGGACGCATCCCCCATGGAGGGCATGGGGTGAGGTGGGGATATGTGTCCCTCCTCTCTGCAGGGAGAACTCTTTATGGCTTCAGCCTGTGGAAATGCACCATTGTCATGTGGGACAAACACGAGGACAAAAACTTTTTATCGTGGCAGGAAATGGGCTTAGTGGTGCAAGATGTTGCAGAGCAGAATTCCCTCTCACCATTCTCAGGATTTGCTGGAAAGAAGTGAAGACAAGGAGGAGGAGCAACATATTTATAAATCAGATCAATGGAAATGTTCTTGGCTGACAGGTTCAACTGATAGCTTCCTGGATCCAGTGCGCATAGGCCAGCATGACCTCCTCAATCACGGAGTATGCTCTGCAAGAGCAGGACACTTTGTTCCCAAATGGTTGCTGGCAAAGGATTCTGGGAAATGGCAGGATGGAGCTGAGGAATACCGGAAGCCAGGCTGCTTGACAGACCTGTTTTCCACCTTTTTCTTCCTCCATCCTTTTGGTACTTTTTTTTTTCCTTTTCTTTCTTTCTTTTTTCTTTTTTTATAAAAGTGCATGTGTATATATAAGACAAAAGTGCAATATAGACCACAGTCATCTTGCCTCCTTCTCCTCTGTGTCAGTGTTTCCATTCTCTTCTCCAACTTGTCTTGATGTTTTATAGCGGTAACAAAATTGAGTGCCCTCCTAGGCATGCTGGGTGCTTGGATCTTGCTGCTAAGATTTGAAAGACAGTTTCTTCCTCTCGGGGGGCAACACCGAGATGAGCTCTCCTTCCTGGCCTTACAAGCAAAACAGGAGCTGGGCCTCTCTGGCTGATGTGCCAAGCTCCCCTTTTAATGGAACTGCCAGTTGTGCCAAGCCCAGTGTACCCACTAATACCTGTTGTAAAGTATCTCCACTCTTACTGTCTCATCTGTCCTTCTTCCTCTTCCAGTGTGAATTCTAGCTATAGTTACATATTGGTGGAGCTAGGCTAATGGCCCTAACTATCCTTTCCTAAAGGGTCTCAAGCCATCTGAAGCAAAGCATTATATACCCTCCCATTTGCCTCTTTTCATTGGATTGCTGGACATCTGCTGTCTTCTTCTATCTCCCTCGGATTCTCCTAACCTGTTTCCTCTCATCCCTTAGATGGTTTCTTCTAAGTTGTTTCATGTTTCCTTAATTTTTCATTAATCCTTAAGCTTGTCAAGTTCAAACAACATTGTGTCCTGTCTACATGTGCTCACACAGTCCTGCTGGAGAAGCTGTCCCTCCAAAGCTGTAGCTCCTCCAGCCAACAACAGATTTCCCATCCTCAGAGAGTGATACTGTTCTGTACTGAATGTGGTCCAATGTCTAAACATATTTCTTATTCTGATCTGCTGTTTCAGATTCATCCCAGAAAGCTGAGTGAACCACCCCCAGTTGAACTGGGGCCAGCAGTGTCTGAGCTTGTTGTCTTTTCCTAATGGTTATTGGAGGGGGGAAGTATTAAGAAAAGAAGCATCTTCTTTGGAATATTTTTAAATGTGTGCTGTATCAGAGAACATACTGATCATACTGATCCGTCGTGGGCAGCTGATGCCTTCCAGTATAGTTGGGTTCCAGCTTTCATAAGACACTACTAGCATGGCCAGGGGTTAAGAATGATGGAAGTTGTAGTTTGACATTGGGAGGGCAATGTGGGGGACCCGTGACTTAGATGAGTTCATGTAGAGAGGAGTTGTTGCTGCCTGTGAAAAGGGATTATAGAATGTGGCTATACCCCACCTCCATCTCCAGCTGAATTTCTGAAGCAGCTTCAGAAAGATTTTAAAAGGACTCTGACTTCAGGATTTGGCCCAAGCTTTTCAACACCTGCTGGTGGATCAAAAGCATAGAAGACCAAAGTTGTCTGGGTTTAAAAATTCCTTTTTAAGACCTGCGCTGGTGTAAAAAGAAATGAAGCAAATGGAAATGTTCATTGATGAGGTCTGGCAGACTCACAGCACAAATGGTTAGGATCAGTTCCACCACTCGTAGCATAGACCCTGGGGCTGGAGGGAGAGTAGCCCCTAAACCGGGAAAAGGGACTCATGAAGCCTGTTCCATAGACTAAGCTAAGGGGAATAACTAGGCAGAGCATCAGCTGAAACTCTTTCCAAAGAACAAGTGCTGAAAGATGTGGTGTCAGAGCATTATGTAAAGTTGTCTTATATATGCAACACAAATATATCTATATCTCTACAGTGTGAAGAGTGTGAATTCTTGCAGTTGATTTCCTTGACTCACTCAAGAAATACCACATTGTGTTTTGCGGGGGGTGGGGGGTGG